CACTGCTGAGTGAAGGTACCATGGGCCAAATTCATAGAATCACAGAATCATAGAATGGTTTGGGTTGGAAGGGACCTTAAAGATCATCTAGTGCCAATTCCTGCAGTTAGAATCATGACAACACTGTTATCATTACAGAACTCGTTTTTTCTTTCATCTTTCGCTTAGGTGACCACACAGGGCCGATTGACTTTGGCTGGTTGCCAAATGCCCACCCAGCTGCTCTCTCACTCTCTCACTCCCCCTCCTCAACAGGCCAGGGAGAGAAAGCAGATTGAAAAAGCTGCTTTAGTTGGATGAAGAAATAGACACATGATCTTGTAGGCCCAGAAAAGTAGGTAGAAGAGTGTACTGGCAATTTTCCACTGGAACTTGTTCCTGGAATAGAGTCATATTAAAAATGCTAGATAGGGGTTTTTTTCTGAAATAATTTGCAATTTTGGGGATAACTTTTTCAATTTGAGAGATAGTCTACATTCTAGCAAATGCATTGATTCCAACTATGATGTTTCTCCCATCGCTCTTTTCTCTATTGAAACACTCAGGAAAGGAAAGTTTTTCCGACTGTTAGCAGTTAACATAAGCCTGGGGTCCAGAACTTTGTTCAAAGTCATTACTTGATGGCAGAGCAATGATTGCTCATTGAACAATCTGTCTACCAAAAAAGGTGTTATACTCCATTGCAGTTAGTATATGTGGGTGAAATTTTGAAATAGCAGAAGTATTTCTTCTGATTATGCTGAAGCTAGTTGTCAGCTATTCTCTGAAACTGTGCTGTAGTTTGCATAGAGTTGAGTCTTTTGGCTAAAAATCATTTTAATAGAATATAAAGGAATTTTAAGAATCAACATTGGAATAGTAAATTCCAATGAACAGGAACTGAGTTTTCTATATCAGTATTTGATCCTGTTTGCTCATAATGTTTTCACAGTATAACAGACTATTTTAGAGCCACTATCAACGTTAAGAGACCATGGACTGACCCAAAGTGCTTTGTGCTGCCCAGGAATCTTTAAGTCAATCAAGTGCATTTTCTATGATTAAAACTAGCAAGCTTAAAGACTTGTTATACACAAGAATTTTATAAAAATGAAGGAATCGGGCTAGTAACTGCTTTTCGGATTAAGCATACTTTTCCCCCTCTCCACCTACTAAGACCTAAATTAAATCTGCCTTCAAGACATATTGATACATTGCATATTTACAAACTTAAGCAGTCATCAATTGAGGGTGGGGAATTTTTTCCTTTGTCATTAATAGGGATGGTAATATTTTCTAACAAGTGAAAGGAACACAGCAACATTCATGGTATTATTAAAGAAAAGAACAGCAGATGGAAGTAAGAGCATGAATAAGATCATTACAAATAAGTAATGTAAGTACAGGTACAGGTGTTTTCTGTGGTGGTGTTTTAAAAAAATCATTTGGAAGAAACAGAATCTTTTTGTGTTTCAGAATGAGAGGATTTATTACAGATTCATTTCCTAAGGAGAGGGATTTGTTGGTGGCTAAGCATGCAACAGAATAATATAGCAGAAAGTGGTGGAAAAATGTGTAACAGCAAAAATAAAATACAG